CACGGTGCTATAACTATCTGGGCTCCTACTCTCTATGGGGTGACCTGGTGCACCCCAGCCTTATGGGCTATGCATGCCTCCTGCCTCCCCTTTAGCATGCCCCAAGCCTCGCAGCTTTTCCAGACATTATCTCGTCCCTTTTCCTTTCTGCGCCCTGCCTGGTGCCCTTGGGCTTGTCACGCAACCGGCGCCTCTCTCTAGCGCCCCTGGGCTTGTCACGCAACCAGTGCCCCTTCTCCAGCGCCTCTGGGCTTGTCACGCAACCAGTGCCCCTTCTCCAGCGCCTCTGGGCTTGTCACGCAACCAGTGCCCCTTCTCCAGCGCCTATGTTCGCTAGCCCTCTTGGGCCGGCACCATAGGCTGACTCCTTCAGGAGCGTCCTCAGTATACTTGCCCTTCTGGGCTTCTCAATAAGCTCACCCTTCTCTGGGGCTTCCTTAGTAAGCCTGCCCTTCTCCAGGCTGCTAATCACGCTTCTCGTGCCCTCGCCCTTCTCTGGGGCTTGTCCCAATCTGCGCTTCTCGCGCCGGGGCTCAGGTGGCCAGTAGCCGTGCCTGGCCCCTTGACCCTTCTCGGGGTCTTTCGCCCGACTCGGGCTACTTCTCACCCGCACTCGGGCCTATCTCGCGCTTGCCGTGCTCTTCGCCCTGGCTGGGGCCTATACACGTGCTTTCCGCGCTCAGGGCTCACCGCAACGCTCTCGCCCCCTTCGGGGCTCTGCCCCGCGCTTTCCGCACTATCGCCCTCTCTGGGCTCTGTCCCACGCTAAACCGCATTCAGGGCTCAGGTGGCACGCAGCCATGCCTGGCCCCCTGATGCTTCTCGGGGTCCTTCGCCCGACTGGGCAGAATACCGCCCTTGAGCTGGGGTCTCAACCCCCACACACCGCACCACACCGGTCCCAAACAGCCATGCCCCCCAGGCACTGCTCTGTGCCCGTACAGGGCACCCAGGAACCTCCAGATTACTGGGGAGCTCCCATGAGGCCTCCTCACACCCCTACAGTCTCACCCGGTCCTCCAGTCTATTTACACAACTAACATAACAGAACCATAAGCCAAACGGCTGTAATAGAACAATAAGCCTACCGGCTATAACGCACACTCTTGTCCCACAGGCTTCTCCTGCCCAGCCTCCCAGTCAGGGTTCTCTCTACCCTGTACCATGATGTAGCTGGTGGGTCTATCAGTCTGCTCCACCCAGCTCGACTCCGCTGCAGAGCTCTTGCTCCTCCGGCTGCCAGAAGGGGACTGCCAGCCAGGCTCCGGCCTGGGCTGTTTATAAGGGCCCGGCCCTGCCCTCTTCTGGTCACCTGACCAACATGGTTGCCCCAGCAACCAGCAGCTGAGCTGCCCTGGTGATTGGCAGCTGTTCTTAACCCTTTTCTAGGCACAAGGCACCTACGTGACCTTGTGACACTAAGTACTGGAAGAGTTCTGTTGCTGACAGTAGGCCTTACTCAACTGTTTGTAAACCATTTAGCTCATCATCTCAACAAGTTAGTTACAATACAAGTTCAGAACCTTACAAAATCCTGCAAGAGCCAAAGCATCATCTCTGGGTACTTTCAGTATGGGTATGTTAGCAGGGAGGTAGTGGGTTCCCTAGGAGGCAAAAATCACCTACAGTGACCCACCATCACCTCATAACTGAAATGCTGTGTTTTCTTTTTTGGGTGATTTTTCTCTGGCCTTCACAGGTGATTCCTGATCTGACATTTTTTCTGAACTGACACTTAACTGGAAGCAACATCCTCTAATGTTGTGACTGGCATGAACATGCAAAACTTTGCTAATCCTCCTGAATCTAGAGGTTTTTCAGAACAGTCATATATTTACACACATACATATCTCCTGGAAAAGCATGACAGGAAAGACTTTTCCACTGACTTTTCTATAATGTTAGCACTATCGAATTCCCATACATTAGTATCATGTAAAATATATCTGGGTTGCTTTACTACTATCCTGTGAAAGTAGAAAATCAGATTAGGTGCTCATTTTGTAAAATAAATATAAATTCTACATTTACTTATTTCTGTAGACAGTTTTGTTTAAACCTAGTTGTTATTGCAGGTCAGCTCTCTCCTTGTTTCCAAAGAGCAAAAGATAAGTCACTTTCTGATGTCTTAGGTTACTGAGAGTTAAAAACTGTGCCAGGGTCTTAATCTGTATAGTTTTAGCAGGATTAACATTTTTTTCTAGATGTGTGGTGTAGAAACTGAGCCACATTATTAAGCGATATAAATATGCATACCTCCAATAAAAGACAAGTAATTATGATGATTCTACACAGTTTAATTCCAGCCAGTAGAACTATACAGTTAGGTTAAACTGTTTGAACATGTCATCATCAATGTTTACAATATCTTCATGATGATGCTATCTGCAATAATACCTGAGCAAATAACTGATTTAAAGTATTTTTAATAATGAAACAAACCAACATTTTTCACTTTTCTAACTAAAACAAAATCTCCCAACATTTTACTTAAGATCAAACCAAACACTTCATTTTATCCAGAATGAAAATGTTTCCTTCTGTTTGCAAATTTCCTTTTTCTTTCTTTTTATATTAAAATTATATAAATCTCATCTTCAAACACTGTTACAAAACAAAACATAGAAACACTTTCAATTCAGAACATGGTGAAATTAATTGTTTCAAAACTTTATATTTTTTCTACTTCGTTTTGGCTGGAACCATCTACAACATTCAGCATCAATTAATAAATAATCTGAGCCTGCTAGAAAAATGGTCACTTTTCAAGATGGAAGGAAGTCAAAAGTGGGGTCCCTCAATGATCTGTGCTAACACAAATGTTGTTCAACATTTTCAACATGACCTGGAAATGGGAGTGCACATAGAAATATCCAAGCCTGCAATTAATACTAAATTGTTCCAAATCCCAAACTGATGGAGAGAAGCTGCAGAAAGATTTCACTAAGCTACATGCGTGGGCAAAAAGTGGCAGATGAACTTGGTTGACATGGGCAAGGTAGTGCACATCAGGAAAAATATCCTCAATTATTTATATACAATGCTGGGTTCTGAAGTAGCTGTAATCACTCAGGAAAGTGACCACAGAAGAGACTTGAAAACAAAATGGAAAACATAATGCCACGATACAATCTCATGGTGTGCCTACATTGTGAATAATGTGTACAGTTCTGGTCTTCACATCTCAAAAAGAATGTAGTAGAATTAGAAAAGGTACAGAGGGCAACCAAGATGATGAGCACCATGGAGTCCTGCCATACCAGGAAAGACTAAAAAGGTTGCAGGGTGATATGATAGAGGTCCATAAAAACATGAAGGGTATGGACAAATTGAATAGGGAAGTGTTATTTACTAAGTCCCAGAATACAAGACTGGGGGGACGCTCCACTAAAATTAGCAGGAGACAGGTTTAAAATTAACTAACTTGTGGAACTCACTACCACAGGAGATGGCAGAGGCAGATGGTATAGCCAGGTTCAAAAAGGGACAAAAAGGGACTAGACAAAGTAATGAATGATATATCCATAAATAGCTATTAAGAATCTCCAACAATGCCTCCACAGCACTGTCCACAAACGAAGGCAAGATTGAGAAAATCTGGAAGGGGTTTAAAGACACCGTCCGTATGGCCTGTGCTGAATCAACTGGCTATACCACCTATCCAAACGAAGACTGTTTCAATGACAGCAGCACCAAGATCCAAGCCTTCCTTGACTGGAAGAGAAGGGCTTATTCTGTTTGGCAAGATGACATCTTATCTCCACAAAAGAAGGGAACGTATCAGCTCCTCAAAGCTGAAGCTCAGAGAAGGATCTGGGAAATCAAAGATCAGTGGTGACAAGATAAAACCAAACAGATCTAGCTCTATCCTGGCAGTCATGACATGCATAGTATTTTCCAGGCAACTGAGTCCATCTATGACCCAACTTCCCACAGTCCTTCTTTTCTGCGATTGCAGGATGGCTTGACTCTCCTCAAAGACAATGAATCTATCAAAGCTAGTTGGAAAGAGCACTTTGAGGCACTCTTGAAACATGAGTCCACTGTAGTGGCTACAACCACTGAATCCATCTCCCAACACCCTGAAACACCAACCGTTCTGTGTTAGAGAAGTCTGGTATGCCATCAAGGAAACCAAGAACAAGGCCACAGAACCAGATGGCATACCTACTGAAATCTACAAGGCTGGTGGTGAGGAACTGGTACTGAGACTGCAAAAATTTATTTTACACAGCTGGAACAATAAAGAGATCCCTGGGCACCTGGGGAATACCAAATTCATAACCGTCTTCAAAAAAGGGGATAAGTCTGTGGGTGGGAACCATTGAGGTATCACCCTCCTTTTCACACCAGGGAAAATATCCCATATCCTCCTATTTTTTACTGAGGAAGCCCTACTCGAATCTCAGTATGGTTTCAGACCATCCCAAGGGGCAACTGACGTGATCTTTGTTGCATACCAGCTCCAAGAAAAGTGTTAAGAACAACACCAGGACCTGTATATGGCCTTCATTAACCTCAAAAAGGCCTTTGATTCCATCAACTGCAAAGCCTTGTGGAAAGTACTAGCCTGATTTGGATGTCTTGAAAAGTGCCTCAAGGTCCTGAGGCTTCTCTCATGATTGTGACCATTCTATGTAGCAGATTGGACACAGATCCATTTGTCATACAAACTGAGGTCAAGCAAGGATGTGTCATACCCCAAGTATGTTCTCTTTTTTCTGACAGTCATCCTGGTTCTTATTAAGGACTGCAATATATTGATGATTGCATCATCCTTGCACACACTGAGGAAAACCTTCAGACCACACTGAATCTTTTTGAAGAAGCCTACCAAACTATGGGCCTCTCTTGCAACATTGAGAAGACTAACGTGCTCTATCAGCCTTCCCCAGGCCATGTATGTGACCCCTCTCTTCAAATTACCATCAAGGGAAAGACCCTGAAGGTAGTCAAGCATTTCCCCTACCTCAGTAGCTCTTTCAGAGGAATGAATATTGCAGAGTCTGGTATGCAAGTGCCTCCTTTGGGAAATTGTTTTGGTGTGTTTTTATTCATAACAGTCTCCAGAAAGACAATGCAGTCATCATTCCCACTCTATTTATGTCAAATGTGGGTGACCTACCATTGTCATCTCAAGAATCTGGAGAATTATCATCAACAATGCCTCTGGAAAATCCTCCACATCAAATGGGAAGATTGCTGCACAAATGCCAGCATCCTTGTTAGCACTGAGTCATATACCATGGATTATGACAGCGCTATAGCAGGTATCAAATGAATGTTTATCAGTGCACCGAATGCTACTTTGCAAGACTGTGGCTATTTATATAGCTTAAATACATAAATATGCAAAAGTGCTTCACAAAAGTTGTGGTCCCTGCACTAAGGAACTTACAGTCTACACAAAAATCCATTCAATTACCTTGAAAGGTGGAATTTACATAGGAAAGTCAAGTGAGGAATAGGAGGGAAAAGGAAACAAGCTAGCATCTGAAGTTCACTATCAAACAGGTTCTTACTATATCACTTCTTGGTGCATTTCAAACTACAGTTTCTTTCCCAGCATAAGTGGATTCTACCTGTTTCCACAGTTATTGGCAATGATGACAATACAAAGGATCAGGACAATACTCACCTGATTTCTACGTAATCCGATGAACAGCGTTTATTTCCTTCCAAGGTGAAATTGGTGAAGCGCAGCACAATTTGTTTGTTGGTTCTCACTGTGATCCTATATATGCACTGAGCCCTGACTGGGTAGTTATTGGGATAGTTCGGTGACGTTATCACACCAGTGTCACTATTGTATTCGTGTGAACACACTTTAAAAAAAAGGAAACATGTCGTGACTTGCAGATATATTATATTTTTGGAAGCAAAGCTACAGTGAAAACAGCTTGAAATGCATGCTTAACTAACAGCAAATATCTATTTCTGATAGACTGAACCCCACCAGATTGTAATTAATCTGGGACAAATCACAATTAAAACTAATCCATCAAAAACAAAGATGAATTTGAATTATCTTGGCATTGAATTATACATCTTTTTACCCAAACATTAGGCTTGCAAAAAAAGTTTTTTGAGTAGGTTTGCCTGATTACACTAATTTTGATCTAAAATACAGAAAAGAAAGAAAAAGAAAACTGAAAGAGGTAGTTTGATGGCCTTCTGTTAAAGTGAAGTCTTGAACTCTTGAGTAGCAGAGGTTGAAAACCTGTTACATTGTTTCCAGGCAGCTCAGAATTTTGGAGCAGTTTTTTTTATTTTAATGTATAACCTTTTTTTCCAGTTCACCTGGATCATGACGCAACATCTGGCAGATCACATTCTATCAGCAGGAAAAAGCTAGACTGTGATGACGCAGCAGTTCTACTCTAAGGTATTGCTCTAGTAATTTGCAATGCACATATTGACATTGGCACTTGAAGACAGATTGCAAACAGAATAGAGAAATGCAGGGATCTGAGAGAACCTCTACAAGGAGCAAGAACAAAGATTCTTGTAAAAGGTCAAAAGTATGGACTGATAAAAAGAATTTCAGATATAGAAATATACCATGAGTTGGGAACTGTTATTTTATGGGTATAGATCGGTTTTGTGTGCCCAACTTATGTTCTGAGTATGGACCAGTTTCCAATCATTTATACCACTAAAAGTGTAATGTCTGTACCTGGCCAGAATGACTATGAGCCACCAATGTGATATAGTTGAGGGGAAAAAAGACAATGAAATCTTGGGCTATATCATAATAAGTGTTTCCATTAGAGATAGGCAAGCATTAATGCTAAGTCTTCAGCTGGAATACTAGGTAGTAGTTCTGGTTACCCATGGTCATAACACAGGAATTCAAACTGGAACAGGTGCAGAGAAAGGCAACAAAGATCACCTGGGGCACTGACAGAAGTGATTTTTTGTTGCATGATCGCCCCCCCGAAAGTGCTCTACAACTGTGTCCTGACAGAAGTGCATGACTGCAGATGCTTTAAAAGTGCCCAATTGCACAAGAAATTAACTCTTGTTACATCAGGGTTCAGATGAAGGTGCTCCAAAGCAGAGCAACCTCATTAAGTTCTGCCCAACCCTGTGTGGATCAGGGCTCAGCTGATGCCCTCCTGCCACCTTCCCTGGACAGCCAGCCCATTCCCAGGTAGTCCTAGGCAGAAGAAAGGCAGCAGAGATGGTGCATGGGGCTTGAGCTGCTCTGAAAATGCCCAGGCTTCCAGCACCCCATGTACTGTTGGATCCAGAAGGTGCTGCCTCCAAGCTGGGGTAGCACCTGCAAAGCTAGCACCCTTCCTGGATGGTCCCGGGGCACACTGCCACTGTGAACGGAAACATCAGTCCCACCCCTGCAGCTCAGGGGCTGCGTGAATCAGCAGCAGCTCATGAGGGCAGGCTTTGCTGAGACAAAAAATGCGGCAAGGGGCCTGATCCTTTTTTTTCTTCTCTCCCAGAGCCTGCTTGCATCTCTCACGGCCAGAGAGCAAGCTGCAAGCAGGTTGTGCAGCCCCTGAGCTGGGGTGCCCCAGTGCTTCCCTCCTCAGTGTCAGCACCACCCCCAGGCTGCCCCCCACAGCTCAGGGCCCACCAGTAGCTCGCCCCCCAGCTGTAGGGCCAGAAGGCTCTAGGGAGGGGGAAAAAAGGGATTGGGCCTCTCACCGATTTTTTTCCCCCCTTCAGCAGAGCCTGCCAGCTCTGCAACAGGGGAGTGGGGGGCACAAACTGACAGGGCTGTCACTGTTCTGTCACAGTGATGGAAGTCCCTAAATTGAAATGGTGGGTTTTTATTTGGTGGGTTTTTAATCAACACAATTCAAAACCCACCAATTAAAAACCCACCAATTAAAAACCCACCAATTAAAAACCCACCAATTAAAAACCCACCAATTAAAAACCCACCAATTAAAAACCCACCAATTAAAAACCCACCATTTCAATTTAGGGAGAACTTAACCCCCGGCACATGTACAACTATCCCTTAATGTCTACTTTTTTCTTATACATATGCACTTTTTAAATTTCAGTACTGGGTCATTTAAAAAATCTGTAAACTGGTTGTGCATTTTAGTTGATTAATACAGTGTTTGGGAAAGACTGACAGCCCCAGAGACTAAAGTCCTCTGTCCCTGTAATATGCACAGCACACGTGATGGCAGTGCAATCTTCTCTTTACCATCCTGCCAGTATGTCTTAAAACTGATTTATGGGAACCACTTGTAACATCAAGAAGGTAGCTTGGTCACATCCCATTTATTTTTTGGCTATTCTGATAAGCCTGAGACAAACTCATTTTGTAGCAGTAGTTTTGGTGAGGTGAAAATGGACTGAGAAAATGCACCACTGCATTTAACAGAAGCCACTGAACAGCTTGAGGCATGCCAACAGTTTTCTGTCATTGCCTACTTGGCTTGAATTTTGATTAGTGACTTAGTGAATAGTTGGTATCATTTTATCAGACACCCTGCAGCATTCAGTCTCATATCCCACACCACAATAGTAGTCACTGGTGAGTCATGTCCATACATATGGACAAATATAAATGCATTTAATTTTAAGGACAAGTTTAGTCAGTGAAGTCACTATCAAGCCTATGAATCCCTCACAGAATTACTAACTGGCATGATTTTATTTTATCATGAGCTTATTCATTTTTCATTTGTATGCTTCGGGGCCTAAGGCCAAGTGTTTTATTGATAGATTTAGCTTAATTTTTAACAAGCAAGTTTCTAACTTTCTGAATTTTTGAAATACCTTGAAAACATGATTTGAGAATATCCGAAGGCCTCAGAATCCAGAAGACTAATAAAATATATTAACATTTAATAAAATTCTAATATAATAAAGGGCTTAGTCTGTCTGTCTGTGTGTCTGTCTGTCTGTAATGTTTTTGGGCAACTGCGCTTGAGCCCTGAGAGGGCTAGCAGTGATTGGCTGTGTGGGCTCTGCCTCCTCAGGCTGGGAGGGACCCACTGCCACCACAGGCAGGGAGGTGGGGGCCCCACTGCTCCACAGGAGGATGCGGAGGTCCTGCACAGGGGTGGGCAGGAGGAGGAAGGGAGGAGCCACTGCCACTGCCTCCTCAGGCAGGGGGAAGCCCCGCTGCTCCGTGGGAGAAGGGGGCAGGGAGGAGGAACCCACCACTGCCACCTCCTCAGGTGGGGGAAAGCCACTGCCACTGTTGCCTCAGGAGGAGGGAAGCCCTGCTGCTCCACAGGGGGAAGAGAAGCAGATGGAGGTGTAGAGAGGCCGTGGGGAGGAAGCTGTTGCACCAGAGGCTGGAGGAGGCAGCAGCGGCAATGGAGGGACTGCTTATATGGCCCACCCCACAGAGTGAGCAGAGGGCGGGGGTAGGGGACCATGTAAATACTCCCTTAAGCACTCTGTCATTCATGACAGGCAATTGGCTAGTAATATTATAATAGCCACAGTGCTACTTTTTAAAGCTGATCTCATGATTTTTAAAAGTACTTTTCATGCTTGTGGTTTGCAATACTGCTTTTCCCCATTCATTTCAGGGTGCTGAATTTCATGTTCAGACCAGAGAATGTTGAAATGTTACATCATATAGAAATTCTCAAGGTGTAATTTGTCACATGAATGCTAATTTTCTCTTACCACCCCATTTCAGAGCATTTTCTGCAAGCTACTTGAAGAGAGAATAAATAGTCCAGATTGCATTCCTTCCTAATATTTGCTTTCTTGGAAGGAACCCATTTTTAAACCAAATCTGCAACACAACAATCCAAATTGGAAGTTATCTCCTGTTCACATTCTACATAAAAATAGTCCTTCAGAATTCAAAAGACTGATGGAAAAACATGACAGATGTTACAGTAACTGTCTCAGCCACATCGGTTCTTCAGCTACAACTAACAGAAGCAAGACCAGATTGAGTAACACTATTATAAAGATTAGAAAAAGAGTGAATGTGCCAAATGGATTCGCTTCCATGCTGTGTCAGCCAGCACAATTCCAATAACTGGTCTGTTTAACATACTATACCAACCAATCCCAATTTTTAAGATGAAAAACTGATAACTCCCTTTTTGCACTCATCTCACTTAGCCTCAAGGCTAAATACAGACAGTCAAAAAGCCTGAGGCAGAAATGATTCAATCGTCACAGGTTATTCTAAAATGCACAGATTGAATAAATAAGAAAATGAACAGACATTCACTTTTGATTCTGGAAATGCAGCCACATGCCTGCAGTGGCCTAGGCCAGAAGCCAGGGGATGCTAGAACATGCCTCCCTGGTTGGCTGGAGCACACACCCTGGGCCAAGCCTACCCTGCCCACCTTGTGAGAGGAGGTTTGCAGGGGAGATGCAAACCATCCTGGGATGCTGGAGGACTGTGAGTTAACTTGAATCTGGAGGGAATCTGGGACAGAAGTTCAATGAACCAATTTAATCTAAATCAGTTAAGTCAGATTTATCTTAAACCAGTTTCAGCCATTTTGCTACAGATTTGAACTGGTTTCCAATCACTTATACCAGTTTGTGTGCAACTTCTGTCCCTAGCCTAAAAAGTTAACTATTTTGGAAGTGTTTTGCTTCAGTTTGCAATAACAACTGTGTCAATTCAAATCATCAGTGAAACAAGCAAGAAAGAATAACTTTGGATTCCTGGCCAAGTTTTGGAATGTTGCCTATATTCCATAATGTGATTATTACACTACTGGAAAAAATATGCATTGCAGTTCATTTGAAATATATTTACTGAATTTCACTAAAGAGAGAAGAAAAGGGTAATTGTCAGGATAGACTCACATTTTGCTTTGCCAGCATGTGAGGTTTTCACATCCTGTTCAATCTGGTTCTGAATTTAGTAAAACATTCATGTTTGTTTTCCTAGAAAAGGCATTATATGGCAGCAAAGTAGTGTAATGAAGCCAAACTAGAGAAAAATGCTAGGGTTTGTATCACTCTTAAGTAGCCATGTACAGTAACCAACATTTTTATTTGTACTTATTCCCATAAAATTATATTAATCAAATACTATGATGCTTATTAATGAAAGATGAAACTCAAACTCTTATTCTGTATGTAAAACTATGATTTTGTTTTCAATTGATCTTAACATGGCCAAAAGAGAACCCAGGTTCCCTAACACTAGTTCTTTATGTCACCTTAAGCATATTTATAAGAAAAAGAAAAAAAAACATCCCATGAGGTGGATTCCTCTCCACAGGCAATGGAAAATCATATCTGCACTTCAGGGTTTGCTATTGCTGCTGCTAGTAGACATTAACCGCCTTAATTTTTACCAACTGCAACTGAGAGACAAGGAGCACAAAGATCCTTTGTCAAGAGTTTCAAACCCAAAGTGCTTGAAAAACATAGCCAAAGCAGATCAGAACTGAATTAACATCTCTGCCCAGTACACACACACAAATAAAAAAGCCTCCTCTCACCCTCATAAATAATCACTGATACTGTCCAGTGAGAGATACATTTAAAACTGAATTTATACTATATTATTAATGCAGAAGTAGGACCTACATATTGCTTTCAGTTTCACTCATGCAACCTGTCTTAAGCCTAGCTGAACGCCTCATTTAAGCCCCAGAGTGTACTGAAGTGAAACACTTCTGCTGGTGGGACAAGATGGGCATTTTTACACATGCAAACACCACAGCACCAGGTGCTTTGAAAAGCGCCCAGCACTGCGACGCTTACAGTTGTATAGTGTCAGCGCTGATAAAAGGGTGGTGGTGTACTTTTGAACTAAAACATATCAGAAGTGCTTTAGTTCAAAAGCACACAACCTCCATTTTCTGTGCGGTGGCGTGCATTTCGCCACTCATACAACGGCACATGGTGCAGTGCAGTTCGCCTCAGCTCGTGTGCATGCTCTGACGTGGCGGATCTCTGGCGCGCCATGGGACAAAAAAATGTGTGTATAAATGCCTGATCATACTCCATAAAAACTTTCAACAGGAAAAGGAAGCTGAAGAAACTGAACCTCAGGCTCCTGGCAGATATTACATTTATTGCACAATTAATGTGTTAATCATGCAATAAACTGTGATGCAATACATGTGGAAATAATTTATCACATGATAAAAATGGAAAATGAGTTGCAAAATGGTGAAGAAGCCTCGACACATTACTTGCTAAACACCTGTGTAGCTTGTTTGCATTAGGCTTTAACTGGACTGGGCAGCATGTTACACATCAAGTGACAGGACTTTCCTGCATCCTTCAGCATCCCAAGATGCACTGATCTCTCCCTTGGCTCTCCATTAGGGTTGTCAAACACAGCCTGCAGCTACCTGTAGGGATAATGCAGGGAGAAGTGGAACATACTGTCTATCAGGGCTGTGCAAAGTTTCAGATGCCGATTTGATTCGGAGGAGATTTGGCTCGATTCGGTGGCTGAAACTCCAAATCCAAATTGAATCAGGGGACCAATTAAAAGGGGTGAGCACCGAGGCTTTTTTTTTAAAAGGCCATAAGCTGGGGCTGGATGGGGCAGCCATGGGTGGGGCTGAGAGAGCAGGCGGGGGTCAGGGGGTACTCAGAGGGGTGGCTAGAGGAGCAGGCAGGTGATGGGGCCTGGCAGGGGTCCCCCCATGGTCCCCTCCCCCCTCCTCCAGCCTCCCCTCCCCCAGACCCTGCTTTCCAGCTTGGGGTCCGGGTCCAGCTCCCTGCTGCAGCCAGTGGGGACTGCCCAAATCTCTGAAGCTCTCCAAATCTCCCCGCTCCCCACCAGGCAGCAGCTGGTGAGACCAGTGTCTGTTTGTTGTTGTTTTTTTTTAATGGGCCAAGAGCTGGGCTGTGGGGGGTACCCATGCGGGGGACTGGGAGAGTGGGTGGGGGGTCAGGGGCTTGTAGCAGGGCCCCCCACATGGCATGGAGCACTGGGGGCAGCAGGGATCACCCCCTGCCTTGCAGCAACCAGTGAGTGGGGGCTTTTCTTTTCAAAGTGCCAGGAGTTGGGATGGGTGGGGCAGCCATTGTGATAGAAGCAAAACATTTTCAGATTTCGAAAATGGTAAAAAGTTTGGATGCAGACACGAGTTTGAGTCCTTATTTTATCCAAACACCTTCATCCATTTCTAGTTGTTATAAATACTAAACAGGAAAAGGCTTTTAAAAGGATACAATTTTACTCAAAACTATATCTCTCAATTTATTACAGAACAACAGCTGAATATTATTTTAAATCTATAGTACCTCTTACAGGCCTTTACACCCTTAATAGAAGGAAGAATCCTTCCCAATCAGCCTACAATGAATCTTAAATTGTATATCATCCTTTTTGTTTGTAAAAGGTTTTCTAAAAGTTAGAGGGACAATCATATATCACAGAGCAGGTACAAACCATAAGGGTCCATTCATATTCTCTAATTTTTACCAATATAGAAGTGGACATAAAGTGAACAGCCCAGACTGAGAGACAGGTTGATGCCTTATGAAAATTAGCCTACATCAAAAAAGGCCAGTTGGAGACAGTTTTTTTTTTCATTTTCAAAGGCTGTGCAGATGCAGACCCTCAGTCTGAAAATAAGGGACTATAGGTCTGGATCTGGGCACATCAGAAATTTTTGAACGCTTCCAAAAATGTTGGCCTCTGTAAGCATCAACAGCATTCACAGGACTGAACAAACTTTAAAGATGATGTGATCCCTGCCCCAGGAGCACATAATGTGGATCAAACATGGACTAAATAGTTGACATAAAAAGGCACTGAGATTCCAAAGAAAGGGTGACTCTTACGATGTTGAAAGCCAGAAGGGACTGGAGTGGTAGAAACTGAGAAGTGAAAAAGAGAGAGGAGTTGAATAGCAGTGTGGAAGTGTTGTTGTAATTAATAGCAACAGGTATGGCAGGGACCTGGATGTATAGAATGTCATATTCCCATTCCATGATGGAGAGTTAAAATGGTAGACAGAAATACAGTAGACAATTAGAGATATGTAAAAGGGTAAAAGGGTTTCAGAGTTATCAACATGGAGACAGTCGATAAAGTGTATATAAAGGTGAGTACAGTGTCTTGTTGGACACTAAGAAATGTGGTAGTAGCTGCTATATGAGAAGCTAGAGAAATTTGAGAAGAACCAAGAGTATGTGGTGGCAAGAGTAGTAACCATTCTGTTCAGAAAATACTGAAGCCGACAATCCAGTGCATCAGAAGAAATATTGAAGCTGACAATGCAGTGCATCAGAAAGATAAGGCAGCATCCTGATAACATTCAATAGTCACTTTAATAGAAATGTTTGACTCCCAGAAAAATAACCCTACAAACAGTTTTCTTTTCATATGCTCAGCATGACAAAGCAGCAGCTGCAGTAGCACACGAACAAAATTTTACAATTACTTCACTGTTTCAAAATAAGGGGAAAGATTTCATGATTTATGGAGTAGCAGTATGCTTTAAGCAAAAGAATTTTCAAACTATAAGGTTTTTCTTACTGAAAATCTATAAGATTTTGTTCCCGGCATATGATTTTCAGGCTGACAGTAGATTCCTGCTTGGTGAGTTTCCCATTATTAGTGATTTTTCCACTCACCATGCCAGAAAACTAACGTATGAATGAAGGCAGCTGAGAAAATTAGTAATTTGGTGGAAGAAACTAACTGGCAGTGAAGCAAACGCAGTGGCAGAAAGCAAACTATCTACCAGCCCCACCCCGTACACATTCTCAAGACATGAGATAATAACCAAACTGTCCAAGCTGTATCTAGAAAAATGGACATTTTTCATAAAAGAGTAAAACAAAAGAGAATGGGGAGCTGAATGAAAAAACAGCAGGAAACAACCTGAAAAAGAAAAGATTATAGCTGTTGTGATCATGCACAATAAATGAGTAGCTACATGCATAAGAAATAAGTTGAGATCCACATCTACATCACGAAACTGTGGCTACAGAGATGACTGCTTTGGACTGCTGATATTTGCCTGATTAAATAATACCACATAAACACTTTCCCCCTGCAACCTCAACTGAAAATCTACAATTAATACTTAACTGTATTAATCTGCATAATGAACATGCTACTGCATTACCTTTGGAAGCATTCACTGAGTTATAATTAGCTGAGAACCCTTCAGAGGCAATGGTGTGATCCGTCACGAAGTACAGTGTCATTATGTTGCCACCACTGGTGAGCAATGGTGGAATTGACCTTCCACAGTACCTGCAAGAAGTCAACAAAAACACCATGTATTGAGTGGGTAGGACTGTAGCATAACTGGGGAGGGGGCAGGTAACCAACCTAGCTGCTGACTTAGAGGGGTGCCAGTATGGCTCCCTCCCCCACAAAGTCTTTGCCACAGGGACAGCTCTGTGTTGCCCAGCCACAAAAGATGGGCAAGCGCAGCCCCCACACCCAGCACTTTAACAGGGGCAGTGGAATATCACCCTCGGGAGACTTTGCCATGGGAAGTAAAGCCTTGCATCCAGTGCAGGGGAGAGAATGGGACCTCAGGAAGGGCCCCTGGAGAGCATGCACTGTTTCCTGTTTCTCAGCTGCAGCAGCCTTAGCCCATGCTGCTACAGAAGCAGCTTCAGCAATAGCAGCTGTCGCCCAAGGAGAGGCTGTCAGGTAAGACTACTCCTCCTTTTCCCCCATTCTCCAGTGGTAAGAATAATCCCATCTTCCCCACCACCCCTGGTGTACCAGGTGCTAAAAGAAATCACTACAGCTGTGGGGCAGGACTGTATGCTGTGTAATATGATCAAATAATATCTATATTGCTCAAACAATATTCAGGGCCCCTTCAAAGCCTGTGAATAATAATTTTACAAAGTTCTGCTTGTGATGGTGGGCCTCAAAGACAGAATGATGAAATGCAGCAACACAGACTTGTTGCCCACAGAAGTTTTGCATAGAACAAACACACTGTCACACTGGCTCTTCATTAAGAGCCTTGTTAAACTGTCGCTGATGTCAATTAATTCAATAAATCTACACCGTATCTTGGACTTTCCCCTCTGACTCCAGTGGGAGTTTCAGTCATCTCTATCAGAGTATTCTTTGCAAATGGTCATAGCTAATACTGAAAATTAATCTTCAGTATAGCGCTCTCTCAATTTTTTGTCAAGAAACTTAAGACTTCAATGAAATTCCCTTGCTAGGCAATTAGGGTTGTTGGTTGTAGCTGTGTTGTTCTAAGGGCATTTTAAAACCTGCACTAAATGTTGTTCTTAAGAAAAGTAGATGTTCTTGCAAACTAATATTGAATTAAATCTTTATTCTGTGGCCAAATGAAAAAGTAATGAAAATAATGCCAGTAGTACACCACCTGGAAGCATTGCTGCTTTGGCCTGAATAATATAAATCTCCAATTGTTTTAGAAAGAATAACCTAAATTCAACATTTTGCTACTGAAGGAAGAGATCCATTGAGGAACAAAAGCACTACAGTGACAGCAAGGATGCAGGCAGAATAAATAGGTAAATTAGATATAATCACCTTCCCATCTTTGTCATTGTACCATTGTCATATACTTCAAGAAAATCGCTTCTGCAATTGTACTCAAATTCCAAGTTAAAAGATGTGAACGTCAGATGGATAAGATGCCCAGGCTGGACTGAGATAGTCCATGTGCATTTGACACCATGTGGATAAATGCTTGGATGACCAGGGCTTGTGATGGTTCCTTCTGGTCCAGTGAGAATCTCCCCACATGCTACAGAGGTTTAAAGCAACATGTTATTTAAAACAATGATTCCAGGACAAAGCATTATGAAACAGTTTATGTCTTCTGAACATTAAAAATAGGACTCTTTTTTTCTTTCTGCATACACTTTGAATTTGTGCAAGGATTCTGTATCATTTCTGTCACAAATAATGTCTACTGCTTGGTTGTCATACAATGTGGCATGTAGTTTATTCTAACAAATGGTTTTCATTTAATCATCTGTTTGACTTGCACAGGAGATCTTAGGTCCAGAAACCCAAAAGGAGAAAGTTCTGAATCTTACCTGTATCTAATGGCCGATATTCAGCCATGAAGCCAAGGTTTGTAACAGAGGAAGATCTGAATTTGACATAGAGATAGCTTTGTGTAGACTGTGTGACAGAAGGTAGAGCTGTACCACAGTATTTCCCCAGGAGACGAGAATCTGTGCTGTTGCCATCCCTGACCTGAAGAGCAAATATTCAAAACATCACAAGAAAACTTGTTCTAGTATGACTAGATAGTGGAAAAAATGTAGGAATTTGCTGCTCAATGCATAGAAACACTGCTGGAAATACTCAGCAAGAAAGACCCTATCCCATGTGCTAAGGGAAATTTGTACCATGACACAGTGAGGTAAAGTAGCTTTAAAGTTCTTTTGCAAGTCAGATGAGGATTTCTCTAATATAAAGGAATCTAATAAAATTAAACTGACATGGATTCCAGCCCCCTGAGATCCTCACCAGGTGGCAGCACGTGAGATGCAAGGCAGTGGAGATTCAGGCCTCATCTACAAATACAGCTGATATTCACCACTGGTAAATTCCTATTACAGAAATATCCATGGTGAAAAAGGTGTAATAAGGAGTTTGGTTCACCTGAGGCACCAGGAATCCCCATAAGAGCAATGAAATAGGTATTTATATGCCAAACTACTCTTCCATACAGTTGTTCATTGACAGATAACAATATGTAACTTAGGGTTGGCATGGTTATAACTGAGGATAAATCTGTTATTCTTTACCTCAACATAATCGGAGTAGCAGGTAGTGATATTCCGAATGCCGAAGTCAATAAAAGTAAGAATCACTACTTTGCCATCTGCCTGGGAGATGATCCACTCACAGGTCTTTGGACGGGAGGACATCCTTGGAAAGTAAGGGGAATGTATAACACCTTCTCCAGACAGTGCACCACCACAAGCTGCAAAGAGAAACTAAAGTTAGTATCTTCAATGAATGCCTAATATGCCATATTTACTCAATTAAAAAACAAGCTGCTGTCTTCCCCACTTCTGCCCCCCCACCTCTGTACCCCCAAGCTGATCTTCCCCTGCAGTCCCCCCACACCCAGACCCAACCTGCTTCTCCCCCACACCCCTCCACTGCACCTCCCATTATAGGTAGTTGGGGAAAACATTACTGGGAGGGGGAATGTAAAAGTGCCCACCTGCCCCCCTGCCCCTCCCTCCTGCAGGGCCATTGCAGGGCCAGGATGTGCCGGTGTTGTGGAGGATGTGGCAGGGGCAGTGGGCACAGCACTGCAGCAGCAGGGTATGGCAGTGGTGCTGAAGCAGCGAAGTCACACAGAGCTGTGCGTGCATGGGACACTGGCCTAGTGGCACATCGAGTGGTGCCAGGCACTGCAGGGTGGTGGCATCATGGTGCTGCTGCTGTACCCAGCGGACACAAAATTAGTTTGGGATCAATTTAATATAGTCCTCCAATAATTAGCTTTTACACATAGAAAATTATAACAAATAAATACATTTTCTATGAATAATATCTAATTATTGAGGAATCATCTTGAATTCAGGGTCATCTTATGTTCAGGTAAATATGGTACATCTTAATGTCATTTCCTTCTGCATGCCACTGAAAATATGCATCCCACAAGACTTTGCAAAGGTCATCAGTTATGGATAATTCAGATAGGAGAGTTTTTAAAAACTGTCACTGCTATCAAACAGTACCATGAACATGAATATCTAATTTGAAACAGCAGTGAAATTATATATATGAAAAAATACATCTCTCACCTTCCACAAATTTGCTTGGATTTTACAGACCTAAGCGGAAGGGATGGAGGGAATAGGAGAGGGGTAGCATGTGTCTGACTTGTTATTCTTGGAAAAAGGAGCACTTAAAACAGACAAAGCTACTGGAGCAAAGTAAAGATCATCGTATATTGCCTGTGATGCACAGTGGTTGGGCTAGTGGTAAAGTGTTTATCTTGGCAAGGAGGATTAGAGGCTGTTGCATGCATTTTGACATATGTCAAGAGTGCCTAGAGCCCTCTTTTTAGCATTTCTAGAAATCCTAATAAACAAAGTTATTGACCCCCCTTTTCATTTCCTTTATCTGGTTGGCAGCATAGTATTTTTGCATGTCAGGGATGCAGGACAAAATACAAATCAGAAAGCTGTGTGATCACTTCTAAAGAATGTGAAGCAAAGAAAGAACTTAATAGTACAGAAGTGCTTGAAGGTTCCTGATCTAGTGAGTCAGTTCAGTGTTCAACTTCTTACCAACTTCATAAACTGCCCTGAAGCTGGCCCTTTGCACTGAAGCATCTGACTTGAACTTGATCCAGAGACTGTTGCTAGCAGAAGTGATTGGGGAAGGAAAAGTGCTGCCACAGAATTTGTTAATGAGAGGAGACATCTCATTGTCACCATCTCGAACCTAATTAGGAAAAACAAGAAAAAATAATTAACTCAGATCACAAAACTGTAACTGGATATGTTTACATATAAAAAAATCATAATTTGATTTAAACACTGTATAGAATGTTGTTCATTTTAGGATGCAGGTGCAGTAATAAGAAGTACTGCAAGAAAATCCCAAAAATCTCAATGAGGCACATGATCTTGTCAGATTTTAGACCACAGCGAACAAGGTCACTTTTCACAGAGGAGACTTCTAAGGAAACTAGAACAGTATTGTTGATCCAGTAGGCAGGACTTTTTCTCCCCGAACCAAAAACTGGCACAAGCAGAACTTGTGCTGCCCAAAGTGCCATTCTTAGGATGAGGAGGAAGGGCAAGGTCTTGGTTATTACATATTCCTTTGACACTTAATTCCTATCCAACAATGGAAGACTTGGGATTCTCTTCATGTCTCTGCAGACATGGCCTTCTCTCATTAAAATATCATCCTTGCTCTGTATGTGCAGTTTCTGTAGACTTAAGTGGAAATCTCCCCAAGGATGCTAACATCATGAACAGAGACAATTAATGAGGGATGCAGTTCTAAGTTATAATGCCAGTGAAAGGAAAGTTACAGTAACACTTCCAACATGTTCTAATTACAGTGAGGGTGCTCCAGAATGCATCAGGAATCAGGTTTCTGCTTTTATTCTCTACATTATATTAGGCTGTGAATGTGTTAATCAACTTGCAGATCAAGGGAGAAATTTACTTCACTGATTTTTCCATCACTTGGCAGCAGGCTATGAAGACTGAGATGCTGGTGAAAACAAGAGGACACATTCTCAGTAGCACCACTGGCTCTCTGGTCTAGCTGGGACAGCTGTATGTGGCACACCGTTGCAATCACTCAGCAGGAACTATGGGTGCAGACAGAAGTGCAGGTCCCTGCTGTAACTGAGACAGCTTTGTAGGAAGTGTTCTGAGTTACAAGGATACCCCCGACCAAACAGATGTTCACTGTTGGTTCCAGCGGGGAGGGGAATCTAGCTGCTGGCTGTGAGCCTCCAACCAGTTTGTCTTGGGCAACGGCCCCTCCCATCTCCCAGCCTGTCCCTGTTTCAGAAAGGGGGGGGGGGAGGGAGGAAAGGGAGCTCCCAGCCAGGGCTGGAGGGTGGGGTGGGTGAATTTGAGCCACCCCACCTTGGGAGGGCTCCAATACACCTGCCTCACTCTCCAGTGGGGGCTGAAAAAAACCTCAGGTTGAACTCCCTCTCCACCCTTTCCCCCCTCCCATTCTGAAAACAGCTGGAGGCTGGGAGGCAGACACAAGGTACAATGCTCTGTTTTGAAACAATGCTCTGTTCTGATATGTCTTCATCTGACCCCTCACTGAGAGAAGGTTCAGATTTTCACCTAACTGGACATTTTTGAAGCAGTCTGCAGCCATGCTCTTGTGTTTGGTCATGGCTGTAGACTGCTTTCAGTGGCCAGATCAGGCAAAAATTGTTACTTCTATCTGTACCCTATGTCAGCAGCTGGGTCTGACCAGGCTATGGCTGCACAATTATCATCTCTCTTTCCTGCCCAACCCTGGTATCAAGGGCCATAAAGGGACTAAAGCTGGCATAAGGCTCTACCATTGTGCTATATATGGCTAGCTAGAAAAGAATAAGGTACAGCTGAGATTTGGTGGTCTCCAGCTGTTTGAATAGCTTTCCAGAATCTGGTAGCAATGGCAGCATCCCTAGACATTCATTTAAGCCAGTGGAGTACTTCAGATTTACACTGGTGTAACTAAGATCAGAGTCTGGCCCACAAGATCTGCAGTTAGGTAAGAAAATGATCACAACTAGAGTCCAAGTGAATTTATACGTTCTCTTCACCTGATTTGCCCCAGCCCACTAAAAACACTGATTAGTATGCAGAGTCCAATGAAAATTCAGTCAGCAGCAGCAGGGATAACAAAGCACTTTACTCTGCACTTGAAATAATGTGTCACATTGCAGCTTAGAGGGGTGCTGATGAGAAGGAACTGGCATTGCCAACATGTTATCTCTGACTTGGTTGTGCCATGTCACAGTCTTTTTAACTGCAAAGGGCTTTTGTGTCTCATTTCTTGCTGCTGTACTGGACTCCCCATGGATTCAGTCTGATGTTTCCTGAACCAGAGACTAAATATCCTCCAGAGCAAATGTTATGAGCTGTTTCTGGATACCAAAGTAACTATGCACATTTCCTGTTATTAACAGTGGACAGGAGCATTCTGTTTCTCTTCAAAGTGAGAAAATAGTTGTCAAAAACAGATTTTAAAGTAACCATTTAACAGTTCAAAGCCATCTCTCCAGTTTAAACCTTATGAGAATTTTTTAGAGCCTGCAAGCTGATTGATGGGTGTATGAAGCCAAACAACACTTGAGAAAAAGCACATATGTTTAATCAAACTGCTTCCAGGGTCAAAAAATCCAGTCCTGTTTCCTCTGCTGTGGACTTAATGGATCTAAAGTAGTTCATGGGAGAGGGCTGGAGTGAGGAGGATAAGAAGAGTACAGTAAAACTGAACTGCCTGGGATTGATCAGCAAACAAGGTAAATGCCTAGCTGAATTAATACCAACTGATTGTATTCAACAAAAATTGTTTTGTTACTCTGGCTCTTGCAAGTTCCGCTGCTGTCCTGCCAGCAATTAGGCAAAAGAACTACCAAGCCAGGCAAACAAAAGCTGTCTGTTTTCGTTACAGAGATTTCCCTCTAGTTTTAGAAATTAATTATACTTCATTCCAACAAAAGTCTCCAAATTCAAAGAGGAGGAAAGGGAACTACGTTAATGCAATAACACATCTTTTAATGATATCACTGTAGAAACAAATTAACTCAGCTCAGCTTATAGGGACCTGTCCCCAGTTTGGTCAAAGAAGATTTTTTTTTTAAATGTATCAAGCAAGAGGTGAGCCCAGCACATTTGAAGCAGGGGCATTTCTACCTCTGGTATTACTTATGCTTATCTTGTGTTCAGTGCACTTTAACATATAGAGTTGACCAAGTGTCAGCTTAATCCTAGCTGGTTATTCATACTTGCTCACCTTTGACTCCTGCTGATTGTATATTACCTGGATTTTATCCCCTGTGGCTTTTGAACCATAATAAAATGGGATATCTACTCTCTTACCTCCTAGGCTGAGAGTTTGCTCTACAATTTTATGCCTACAATTAATCAACATTTCAGAACAGTTGCATAATAAAAGTCACCTCAATGTAATTCCAAGAACAGCTGTTGTGACTCTGAACTTCCATGTGTGTGAAGTTGAGGTATATTTTTTCATTCTCTGGTTGTCTAATAATATAGATACATTGCCTGTTGTTAATATAAGGATTAGGCCAGAAGGGGGACATGATAACCCCCACACTATCAGTGTAATTTCCTCCACAGTTGGGATCTGCTGTAAGAAAAAGAAAAATTAATATGAGATGCCAGAAGTATCATGGGGCACAATATTTAGCCCTTACCGTTGGCTACATAGCAAACTAAAGATATCAAACAATTAAACTACCTCTGCCCTCAAAAAATGTAACATGTCCCCACACTATCCTAATCGCTGTTTGTGGACACAGCAACTCTGGAATGTCATATTTACACGTGACCATTTTTACTTACAAGGTGATGTGGTATAGATGATGTGGAAGCCTGTGTCACTGACTGCTCCATCAGAATGAAAGTGAAGCCATGCAGATGGACCACTGGTCTGGAGTGGGGGTGGAGAACGAGTGCTACAGTATTTACCGAGGATGGGATCTTGTGGAAGGAGGCCATCTCGAATCTAAACAAAAGAGTGATCCTCTGCTCAGAGTTGTCAGCTATATACCAGTACTAGGCAATATGGATATTCCAAAAGATATCTTAGAAAAGGAGGTCATGTACAGTCTTGTTAGTGTGTGAAAGGTTATGAATGGAGGGGAAAGCTGGTAACATATTCCCACCATATTTGGAAGGAGTATGGGGCAATGCCTAGTAGATTTAAGTGCAACCAGGACATAAACAACAGTGGAATTATTAATGGGGTGCCTAAAAGAGGAAGAACATTTTGTAACATCCACCTTGCAAAGTTTTCCCAGAATCATCCTTTCCTGGGACAACAGTTTTGGGGACAGACAAATTTTGGAGGCTACCCCATCACTGAACCTAGAAAGTTTAAGGATTCACAAAGAAGTGATACAACTTCCCTGAGGAGACACCATTTGCAGCTGCACCACCATTTTCCTTCCTTCCTTGCCTTCCCCTCACCATATTTACAAGAGAAGCTGTAGTAGAGCTCCACCAGCAATGACACAGTAGCAACCATGGAGGAAATGTTGTGGGAGAAGATACTAGACTCTGGCTATATTAATTCTTGCCCTGTTTCTGGAGTTGTGCAGCTATCTTCTTCACCTTACTCAAGCCAGATTGTAAAATGAGAGCCAAGCCCTTTCATTATTAATATAAACAGCAACATAGAGACGCAACCAGGTCCCAACTGTACAGGAGGGGCAGTGGTTTCTGGCTACCACAATGATCACAATTGCTATTGCACAGTTGCCATAGGCAGCCACTTTTTATCCGCCCTCCCAAGTCAGCACCCAGAATAATGCAAAGGCACCCAGTGGACTGCTGGCACCACCCTTGCTGCAGTACTAAATGTAAACATACAGCTAAATAACAAGAATAAAAATATGTGTTTGATTATTACTGCTAAGAAACTACACGTTTAGAAATACTGAGCTATTATATTTTTAAGTAACCAATCATGTGACTGGCTAGGTTACTCAAAAGTCTGGTTTCTAAAGTCAAGTTTATCATTAAGAGGAGCTTCATTTGGATAATTAAAATAGAAATATCTTCTTTTATTAAGTATGTTTATAACACTATACATTTTAGATAGCCTCTACAAAATTGTAATGGGGAAGTTTTTTTTTTTTCTTCTTTTCTTCCCTGAATGACTGATACCATTTGTGGTTATAATTGTTTCCAGTAAAATACAGTTGCATGGGAAGCTTTCTAGGGACAAGTAGAAGGAATCATTCTAAGTATGGTGACTTGTACTGCTAGAAATTTCCAAAAGGCCATATTTCCTTTTCTTCCAAAAGGCATACACATTCTCTCAGCACCTAAATTCTTCAGCATTTTTACTAATGGTAAGTGCTCATTGAAAACCCTTCCTTTTCACACTTTGGAAACAGAGGGAGTTTGCACTTTGGGAAGGTGAGAGAGGGTGGCCTGTGGTTTAACTTTGTCAGCATTATTTTTCTGTGGGCACATCTACACGAGACGCTACGATGCAGTAGCAACGAGCTACTGCGCCATAGCTCATTGCTACCTTTCAGTAGCATTGCCAGGCACTAACCGTGTGGCAACACTACTGCGCAGCAGTAACGAGCTACTGTGCAATAGCTCATTGCTACTAAGTAGTAGTGTCAGGCAAAAACCATGCAGTGATGGTACTGCATAGTAATGCTGGTTACTGCGCAGTCATTTAGTACTTGCTTATGCAGTAACAACTGCACAGTCGGCCGCACGTGTAGACACAGCCAGTGTGTCACAGAATAGTGTTTTTCAAACTGTTCTCTGGAACCCTGCAGTTCTGCGATAGGTCATCACGGGTTTTGCAAAGAAGTCGGGCGGTTAGGGAGGAACAAGTGGGGAGGCAGCGTGCTGTCACTGCTACCTGGCTCTGCATCAGTCTTCAGGATAGGGGTATGGGTTCCGTGGCAGAGGTGATATAAAAGGGTCCAGTGACTTTAGGAAATTGGATAACTGCTGTCACAGAATGTTGAAAGCTTTTTTGCAATAGTACTGGCATCACATTTTTGTCATTACTACTACTGAGATTTTACCTCCAGATAGTCTTGGCTGCAATTATCATGATGTTCAAGACTTAGTGTGCCAAAGGCAAATGTGATGAGAAGACCAGGATTGGTTGAGATGCTCCAATAACAATCTCTATTAGGAGGGTAGTTACCAGGATATCCTGGCGTATATATTGAACCGTAAATACTTGTAAGTTCACCACCACATTCTAAGCAGAAAAAAAATACATAATTATTTTACCCTTTCATCCAACTTTCAGGGTTTACATAATTAAACTGTTCTGCTGCTGGAGATTTACTGGACTTTTAGCCCCCCTCCCCCTGCCAATACATCAAAGAGAAGAATGTGTTTGTTTCTTTTAGATTTACCTTTCAATAAATCTATAAATAATAAAAGCAGAACCCAAATATTTTCTAAGCTGCACAGAATTAATTCCATAAATAAATGGACCCTCTCAGTAACTGAATAGAACTACTGTTGGTTTAGAGCAGGACTGAATATCTTCTGACCCTCCTTTGTGCCTGTGAAACCTGGACCATTTACCAGTCCTCCCAAGAAACCAAACCAATTCCACTTGTGCTGCCTGCAAAAGATACTAAAGATCAAGTGGCAGGCAAGATTCCAGACACCAAGGTGCTCGGAAGATCAACTTTCCCCAGTATTCACACCCTGCTGAACCTGGCACAGCTACGATGGGCTGGCCACCTCTCAAGAATGCCTGACACTCGCCTGCCAAAGAGAGTCTTCTATGGCAAATTGTCAAACAGAGTAGGCTTTCGCGGTGCACCAAAGAAACGGTACAAGGACACCCTAACAAAGTCCCTAGAGATTTTGGCATCAAGCGAAAGTGATAGAAGTAAATCGCTTGTGAACATCCATCCTGGAGGCCCCAAATCCAAAACAGAGCATTGGCTTTTGAACAGCAATGCACAAGAAAAGCAATGAAGAAACACTCAGTCAGGAATTATTTTTTACTTTTTTTTACTATTTTAATGTGTATTTTACTATTTTTTCCCACCAAACTTTCTCTTCCCTTTCGTCAACGTCTTTTTCACTGCAGTTCCTCCTATGTGGCATTCAGACCTAATAACTTAGGAGTTCTAAACCCAAAGTGTCTAAATGTATTTGGAAGTAGACAACATAACTTTGTATCTTCTTCAGAAAATATACAGCCTGGTCGCTTGGAACAATCGTGAATCTACTGTCATCAGGAGTTAAGACATAAGAGACAGAGCACAAAACCAAAAGCAGATCATGACAAGTTGGTTGTATTTTGGTATACATTCTTATGCTGAAGGCATCGTTTTACCTTTTTTACTTTAGTCCTCTGCAGACTGACAATGACAGAAAAAAAAATTTACCTGGTACCTGCTCAAGGTACCAGATATTTGCAGGAGATGAGGGAATCCATAGGCATAGGATGCTAGTAAACTTTTGGGGATCTTTCACAGGCAAAGCAAAACAGGCTTAAAGACTAAAATGAAATTCTAGCAATGTATTATTAAAAATTTGATTCTGAGTATCTAAAAATAATGCAACAGCCAATGTTTCTTCTTCCTTATTTGTCAGTCAAAACTGTCCCTCAGTTATTGAGATTTATTAATAAAGTCAAATAAATTGGTTTTTTTCCCCCTTTTTGCTAAATACCTGATAGCTCTTAAAACTTACCGGGTTCTCGAGACTCCCATTTCACTGTAAATCCCCCTGCATTCCCAGTGTGGTCAGAACGGAACCAGAAATACAAAGAATTGTGGCTACTAAAAAGCTCAGTAGGGTGAGATGAGCCACAGTATTTTCCTAGCATGTGCGCAGAGGCTGAGTCCCCATCATGAATTTGAAGGAAGTCACCATTACAGTCGTTGCTAGCTTCCAGTTGGAAGAATAGGAAAGTAATACGCAGGATCTAACAAGAAGCAGGAGAAATCAGATCATTTTATTTTTACACCAGTGGCCTGAAATATAAACAAGAATGATTATATACTGTTTATACAATAACCCTAGACAGAGCAGATGCACCTGTCCATACAACTGTGTAAGTCTGTGAGGCAAGCTCTGGAGCCATTATGTAATTTCCTGAAAAAATCCAGGACAGAGGAAGGCATTAGATGATCTTGAGGCTTAAAAGAAAGGAGAGGAGATAAAGAGAAATCCAGACAGAAAGAAAAGTTGTCTGAAGTGGACTTAACTCTGGATGTCTTTAGTCTTATAAATAAATATTTATTCAGGACCTCTCACTATAGGATCCTCAGAGCTAAACTTGATAGCATAATGTTAAAAACTTGAAATACAGGATGACCTAAAATATTTCATTACTGATTCACCATGATATTTTACAAACTAGCATCTACCCATCCTTTTTATCTTTCTTTGAGTTAGAAAATGTGGATTTATTGTAGACATAAATTCTGATTTCTAGGGACCTACTCTGGGAAAATAACAGCATACAGAACTTTACCTAGGTCTTGATCCTCAGCTGTGAAGCTCCATTGAAATCAATAGGATGGAAACTGAGGATGGGGCATACACTGTCGTATAATCAATTAATTTTAGCAAATTAATTTTTTGAAACTGTCAGAATTAAAGAAAATAAAGTTCACTCCCCTGGCAAGAATTCTGGTTTGCAAAGAGGCAATTAAATATTTTGCATTTTGTAAGGTACATTTAGAAACTCAGAGCCAAAATTATCAAAATCTCCATGTAGCTATAACACTTAATGATTAATACTTTAAAAACCTAATATATTTGTACATCAGTTCCTTTTACACTCAGTTAGTTTTTTCTTAAAGCCACAGATCCTGGAGTCAAGTCATTATATTTGAATCTTGGCTTTTATTTTTTGTAAGAAAAATGTCTAACCCTCACGGAAACAAAGAAAAGCTTGAGAATGTGACCAAAGTGTGTTCAGAAATCTGATGGTAAATAAAAAATCCCAAATGTGTTCTTTTTGTTTCAAACCATATCATTCTGAGGGAGTTAACTCCTGATATTTGAGTACCTGGAAACAGCAATACTGAATAATTACTGGTTGCAGGAGAGAACACATTGAATGTGAAATACTTTCAGTTTTTTATTACTTATTCTGATGTTTGAATTAATACTTCCCTTGAACTGAAATTCACTCTCTGAAACCATTTTTCCTGACTCCAGTAACTCTTCCTGGATAGGGTTATGAGTGTGCTGATGAATGGGTAGTTAGTCATTCCAGCAGATAATGATTTATTTTAGGTAAACTCTCAATTACCTTGTTGGGGTTAATTCGGATAACCCAAGCACAACTGACCCGGTTATCATATCGCTGACTGCTTGGACTGTTAGGGTAGCTGAATGTCCCACTGGAACCTGAGAGGTATCCTCCACACACTGGAGAAAAAACAGCGAAACAGATTAAATACAGCTTTTCCAATGTGGACATAAATAAAGTGAAACCCTTTAGCTTAACAGATGGTATGCTCAATATATAAAACAAAAATGAAAAATAGTATAAGAAGAATGGGATTTGTTGAGAGCGGAGTGACCTTAGGTTATCTTAGAGAGAATTATTTTGGAGGGAAATAAGAAAATGTCTACAACAAAATGTCCATTTTTCAAAAAGATTTTGATTTTCTATCAGGAATGATGAAGTGTCCCTCCTCAGACCTGATGAAGAATGTCTTGCATTTGAAAGCTTGTCTAACTTCATTTCAACCATAAAGCTGGTCCAATAAAAGATATCACTCCCAAAAAATCCTTGCCTTTTGTGTAATGCCGGGACCATCAGGGCTACAGCATTAACCTAACACTACCATTTGGACTGAAACATTTTGGTTTGCCTGCTTCAGTTTAACATTAAACCACCTGTGCTTGTGGTGGTCTCCTGACTCATGGGAATGGTAAATTCAGGTGCTTCATATCTGCATTCTCCTTCTTGGCGAGACTACATCTCGCATGATATTTTCCAATCTCTCCTCTAACTAAGCTGTATACCAGATCATAGGAATTGCAGGCCAGGATCCCAGTCTATAAAGTAAAAACTGGAACACGAGACACCCAAAACACAAATCCCATGAAATTTCATGGCACTACTAGGCAGATTCAGTTTAATATCCAACTGCTTTAAAATATAATATTCTCATTTCAGTTTCCTAAACTGAAGAAGCTTTTTGATTCAGGGCATGACAAACTGTTTTAAAGCTGATTATAACTGTCCATACAAAATACTCCATTATTTTCAAATTTAAAATGTTCATTACTTTTCATCCATAAAAAAGTGATGTTTTGACTTTGGGTCCTGATTGGCAACTACCAAATATTGAAATATTCTCTGGCTCTGTTATGAACTCTTGTTTTCAAATGGGAATTAGTAATAAAAATAATAAAGAGAAAAAACTAATTAAGAATAAAATATAACAAGATATAGCTCTAAATAGAACAGTGACTCTTTAAAAGGGTTACATTCTATGTGCCATATACAGTTCTAATTAATGTTCTGCTTTCTGCACAGCAGTTTACAATATGTGTGAAACTGCAGAGCAAGAAAAACTTTGACAGACTGATTCTACTGGGGCACTCACTGGCATGTCACACTGACATTCCTTAATGAAAATAAAGGGGAAAAAAGTGTGCAACTGCAAAAGCAGCGCTAAGACAGGTCCTTGAAATCACCCTATAAGCTTAAAGCCCCTTGACTCTTTGGCTTACATTTCCTTTAACTAATTTTTCACTTTACAAATTTCTTTCAAGCTTTTGTTGTCAGCAGAAAATTTTAGGACTTCATTTCTCTCTACTAATCTCCGTAGACTGCGGTGATGCTACATTCTTGGCTGAGGACATACTTGGTCAGCTGCTGTTTTACAATGACCTGTTTCAAAGATTCTAGCACACTGTTATTCTTCTGGTTTTTAAGCCAATGTCTTCTTCCATCACTCAATTATAGGTCGCTATGGTTCAGAATTAGAGAGCCAGTTCATTAAGCCTTGCTGTAGAATTCAGGTTTCTACCAAGTACCACACTGTAATTAGTCAGCCAGAGGATGATAAGGTGTGCTGTCACTTAGAACTTCTATTTCTCAAATGAAACATTAAATGGAAGTTTCTGTTGTCACAAGCTGCTATATCAACTAAATATTAAGGATCCTATGACACTGCTTGAAAAGAGAAGTTAATAGTCCTAAATTTCATGGACATCACTATCTCCATTTTACACATTCCGTCTCTCTCACCATTCAAAGAAGCCTAAGAGTTCGTTGTATTAGCCTGAGGCATACCACCAGTGCACTCATAAAATCTAATTCATTTTTACAGCTTTTTAAGACAACCAAAACATGGAAGCCACTGTATAAATCAGATGCAAACCTTATTCTGTTCTCATGTAATTTCTATACTCAATTGCAAATCCTCCTTCCCACCTGGACATGGCAAGATTTGGACCTTAGGATTTTGCACTTAGAAGACCACTTATCTAATTTTAGGATTTCAAGGAACTGGTTAAAACTGGTAGGCCTAAAACTTGACCAATGTGTTATGCTCTTGCTGACAAACACATAGATCTAGAACATTTTAGCATTGTTGACCAAATCCAAGGATTCACTGAGGCCGGTGGAAAAATTCTGAGCCTTCAAAAACCTTTGGGTCAGGACAGCCATCAATTTATAAAAGTTTTTCATTATAACTTCACCTCTAATCCAACCACCTTTTTTGGCTACCTGATGTTCACAGACTGATAATGTAGACAGGCAGATTCTGGTAGCATGACTTCTCTCAGACACCATGCTTTTCATCTTACCCTGCCGAGGAATCTGACATTGAGGTCCAGTCCAAGTATTTGTGCATTCACAGGAGTAACCATTAATTCCATCAGTGCAGCTCCCACCATTCTGACAAGGGTTGCTACTACATTCATTTATGTTTTCTGTACAATTAGTGCCTGTCCATCCCAGATCACACAGACAGAAATATCCAGAGAGTGTAGCCTGTAGGCATAAACCAAATGAAAAGAAACACAGTGAACTGTGAGCCAACTGAAGTAATTGATGTAGTTAATAAAATTACTTATATTTGCATTTGTTTTCAGTAAGCAGTGCCAATGCAGAAAAATAAACACAGCACTGAGTCTTGACGGTAATTTATGGATTCTTAAAAAAAGCCCTTAATAGGATTATGTTGGTCCTTCTGTTGTCTATTAAATTAAAGTTTTGTAGGGGCCTTTCAACTAACTTGAAAAAGACCAAATCAGTCTTCCTTAAGTCATCCAGGAAACAGTTTGCTGAAATTGTCACCCTAGAAACAAGCAAATCAGGTTATCTAAACCCTACAAGTGAGCCAGGATAACCACAGTTTATAGGTCATTTGGCTCAAGCCTTGTCTCTCTGAAGTCTGAATATTTTAGAGAGGTTATGAGTAGGATTTAACTACTGCAGATAATCCCTATCACTAAGTCAAAGGAACACAGGAATCTTACAGTGGTCCACCTTGGACTAATATGCTGTATCTAAAAGAGACCACTAGAGGTTTCTTCAGAGGAAGGTACAAAACACTAGAAAAATGGAATAACATGACCACAGGGAAAGTTTCTTTCTGAGACCTGAAGAAAAATATTGTGATACTTAAAACTTGTCTAAGTCTATTCCAA